TATTAATAAGATGTTTAGAGTGTTAGAGAGAGGTAATGTTCGAACCTCTCATTCTCTAACACTCATTGCAGCAGCTCTCTCTCTTCTCTTCCTCTCTTGTTTGCTGTTTTGCTGTTTTGCATCTAATCTCAAACAGTTCCATACATCAAGTGAACTGTTTTTCAACTTACCACAAAAGGAAGAAGCCAGGAAATGCCAGACCCACTTTGTCGAGCAGCAATAGTGGTTGGGCCCCCCAAAGAGGGAATCCAAAAGAAACCTTCTGTCAATAATCCCTTGAAAAAGAGTTACAAATATCAGCAAGAACTATTTTGCAATAAGTTGAAAAAACTATTCGAAAAGTGTTGCAGAATTATCCATTTGTACCTCATTTGCCACATTTGAAAGAGCTTGATACAAACCAATCCAAACTGGTATCGTGGCCAAAGTTGGGAAGCATCCTGTTCAGCAACAAAAGTAAATTCTTAGAAGATTATTGGGAGGTATTAGCACTGCAGTAACACCATGCATAGATATTATGAACTGTTAATAAAATGGAGAAGAAGAATTGCTCATAGCCATCAAAGTCTATAGGAAATAGATAATATTCAGAAGCAACTTGTTTAAATATATTCAATTTAATTCCCAGATATAAACATAGAGAAAAAGATTGTCAATTGACAAATTGTAGACATACCTGCTAATGGGTTCACGCCAGCTTGCCTATAGAGACGTGATGTCTCAAGTTGTATTCTTTCCTGAAAGGAAATAGCATGAAGGCAGAAATGTTAAGGCACCAAAATTCATGCCCAAAAATAATAGATAGTAAGAAGCACAACTACCAAACAGCGCTGAAGGATGTTTATAATTGGTATTATCCTATGTTAAATCATCAAGTATTATAAATGAAAGGAGAGGTGCTGCAGCTGCCACTCCCATCGCCAGTTGATGATGTGTATCGCTATGCTTTATCCTCTTTCTTCCCCTTCTCTTGTCTCTCATTCTTTCCTTTTTGATCTGCTATGTCCTCTACACCTCTTTCTTAATCTCTCTTTCCGTCTTTCTATCTTCTTTTTCTCTCCTCTCATAGTAAGTGTTTTCTCACATGCTCCAATCTTTTTTATTTTTAATTTGTTAAGACTTTTCACTTATTTTAAAATGATGTTTTAAACAAAGGTAGTAGAGGAGTTGTAACAATTGAACCATCGGCCAGCAAATGGGTTGAATGATCCAATGGTAATGTTAAGTTTAACAGTTCTGGGGTTAAACAAACCTGGTTTCTATTTTGAGTGACAAGTTGAACAGTCAAACCATCCACGTCAACAACAGATCGAAAACACTGATGTTCCACCATCTTAGTTCTCTCCCCTTAATATGTTGGCAGAGAGAGAGAGAGAAGCCTTCAATAAAAGTTTTTTGAGGAAATAAAAGGTTTTCTTTTTATAAAAGTGTTAATACGTTTTTTTAGATAAGTATTTTTAAATCCCTCTTATCAAAAGGACAACAAGGTTTAAAAATCAAAAAGGTTTTCAAAAGAAAAAGAAGATTTTTAAAATAAAGGTTTGGAACAGAATTTCAAAAAAAAAAAATCCAAGAGAGAGAGAGAGAGAGCATAAGAAAGTCCCTGCCTCGAATCAAGCCCAAAGGTTCAAGCCTCAATTTTGAAAGGTAACGTAAAAAACAAAAATACCTCAAATTGGTATTATAATTGTTAAAGGTCCCTCCCTCTATTCACATATATACTTTAATGTTAAAAGGTACATAAAAAACAATAATACCCCAAATTGGTAACATAAACAATAAGACCAAATAATATCCCTACTATCTACAAGGAGAACTATGAATCTAACGAATTCCCAAAATTCTTCGGAAATCTCTCAACATGTTTAATGAGATATTTATTTCGAACAAAATGCCTCCACAAACCATGCAATGCCCACTTTCAGAAACCAAATTGAAATGCTAGTGGTATTTTCTTCTGCTCTAGAGGCAGTTTCCTCTTTCAAATAGTGAGCATGCAGGACATGTTGTTTGGCCAAGCTTAGATTCATGACCTCGCACCATGTATACAACAGAAAATGTACTTCACCTGATTGCCAGCATATCTTTGTTGAATGGCCTTAATCTTTGGCTGAAGGTTTTGCATTGCCAATGTCGATTCAACCTACCAAAAAAATAAAGAAAAACAATCATAAGAAAGTATATTTGTTTAAAAAAATAAAGAAAGAAAAAAGAAGAAAAAGTTGTTATAATAAATTATAGAGACTTTTCATCATCATCATCTTCATAACCAATCCCACTTAGGCCTGGCAAGAGGATTCCATTACATTCTAACCTATAGAGAAATAAGTCTTTTATCCAATTTTGCTTCTCCAAATCTTTTCTACATCCTTTTCTCGATTCCCTTCATATTTAGAGCCTTCAAACTCACCAAACCACTTCTGCCATCATTCTATTGCAATCAGCTTTCACTCTCTGTCACTGAAATTTCTATTTCTGGATTCTCCTCAATGCATTAATTTTTCTGACTTTATCTTTCCTAGCCTTTACATTTCTTCTTTTTTCGTGGCAAATATCTTTCCTAGTCTTCTAAACCATCTATTTCAACATCCCCACTTCAACTGATCTTATTCTTGAGATAAGTTCTACTTAGATCAATATGAACATCTTAGTTGTTGAGAACCCAAAGCATAACAATTACTGCTCCTGTCATATAATATTTTTTTGGTAATAAATAAAAAAGAAAAATTTATTAATAAAAAGAGCAAAAGTACATCAAGAGACAAAAGATCACCAAAAGATCAAAATCAAAGCTACAAAAAAGCTGAAAATACCATTTTTTTATAAGTGACAAATTTTATTAGCAAAAGAACAAAACTGTTACAAGCTTCCCTAGGGGAGCATGAGATGCAGCCACACCCTTGAGCTAAAACAACTCAAAACTAGAATTACAACTCAGCCCTATAAAGGAAGGCCCTAGAAGCCCCTTGTTTGGCTAAGACATCAGCCAATGAATTAGCCAACCTGCTCACCCATTGTATTCTGACACTACAGGGAACTTCTACAAAGCTGGAAAGACCTTTACTACAGAAACAAGAGAAAAACTAGATTAATTCAAGGAGGCTCCAAAAACCAGCACCAAGGTCTTCCCTAGAAACTCCTTCAAATTCTGGAAGGATTAGAACCCAATCCATAATCATTTTGCCACACCTTAGTGTTAATTTGTCTCTAGAGCAAGATCTGTTCTCAAATACTCTTCTATTTCTTTGATCAACATGAATAGGTAAAATTAGACCTGTTCATGGGCCGGGTGGCCCGACGGGCCGGCGCGGCCCGGCCCGACCTCCGAACGGGCTTGAACATGCTTATAGGCCCGCGGGCTTAAATTCGGGCCAAAAAACCCGGCCCGCAATAAATTTGAGCCGGGCTTGGGTTTTGTCAAAATAGCCCGACCCGGCCCGACCTAATATTAAACTTAAAATTAGTTATGTGATTATGTCCATTTGAATAAATTTTTTGATTTAAGAATGTAAAATTATGTTTTAAAATATAAAAGAAAGGGAAAAATACCATCTTGTAGGCCCATTGTTCATTTAAATAGAAAAAAAAAACTATCTGAAATTTTAATTCTAATTTGAATAGGGAAAATTGTTTTTTTTTTCAATTTGGTCGGGCTTCGGGCTCGGGCTCGGGCTTCGGGCTTTTTACCAGGGCCGGGCTCGGGCCCAAGTTATAGGCCCGTTGGTCGGGCCGGGCTCGGGCTCGGGCCTAGTATATTTTCATTAGTGACAAGTGAAAGCCTGGCCTGGCCCGGCCCATGAATAGGTCTAGGTAAAATGACTTATAGCATAGCACCCCAGAAGCACATAAAACCCAACTCTACTTCTATAAACAACATTCTTTTCAACTTGATGTCATCATCATCTAAGCCTTTGTCTTGACTATATGGGGTCGGCTACATGAATCCTGTTTTGCCAATCCATTCTATTCAGTGTCATATCCATTGTAAAATTATGAGTGCTCAACTCATTTTTGGCCTAAACGGGCTTTTGAAAAAGCCATTTTTTGAAATGGGCTCTGTGTAAAAGCACTAGTTTAATGTTTGTATGCTAACCAGCTTTTTGTTCAAAATAGCTTCTTGCAAACATAAAAAGTCGAATGGATTTTTTTTCTGCTTTTTCAAACAGGTTTTTTATGCAAAAAGCCCATTTGAGCTTTTATGCCAAATATTTTTTTACTTACTTTTGGCATCTCCGACATGAAAAGCACAAAAAACCCATTGGAGAAGCACTCCCAATTTTTACTCCTAGGGTCCTTCAATTTTTCCACTCATCCATCCTTTTCAACTTGATGTAACCCCCAGTTATTCTCAAAATCTCACCTAACACCTCATCTTGTGATGCCCAATGTTTAATTGAGTACAGTATGCAGCCCATACTTTTGATTATGCAAGCTACATACAAATAATAAATCCTAGATGCATAGTTTTTTTATCAATAACCAATCCTAGATATATAGTTATTAGAAATGAGTACTTTATTTAAATAATTATAGCAGTGAGAGAGGAACCACACCTGCTTTTTCGTTAAAGGGAGTGTAGCCACTTTAACAAGAACAGTGAGCAATATGATTGCAAATCCATATGCATAAGGAACATGTACAGCTGTAAGTCCATCCTTCAGCACCTATAACCAATAAATACAACAATCATCCATGTGCACTCTCTTGGTCTTTCTTAAATAGTTCTAATTTGCTAAAACATAAACATGAAATTAACAACAACTTTAACAAAACATATAATATTACAAGATTGGGATGCACTATTAATTGCTATTATTATAACATAACTTCCAATTACCCTTCTGTCTAATTCATTAAATCTTCTTTGTATCTTATTACAAAGATGAAGATGCCAACACTAAAAGCCCATGGATGGGCAAACTGTAAGCACATCCACAAATATCCATATCACATAAGAATTAAAATGTTCATTCTTTTCTTTCAACGTGCATGAAGTGACCAAATATAGTAAACTCTATAAAAGTTAGCAACTTAACAAAAGCAAATATAGGAAGATTACAATCCAGGGGAATCTACATATGCAATTAATAACTAGGATGAATCCAAACCTGAACTTTCACTTCAGAAAGAAAGTTGGTTCCCAACTAATAACTAAGAAGTACACTTGTATTTTTTCCCAGCACTTGCCTCAAAAGGTAAATATACAACAAAGATGGTCCATTAGACTGAGTGACAGACACATGCTAGTAATTGATGCCAGAAATTGCTATGCTGGAAATAAGTCATCCAATGGCCTTAGGATTGATAATAATGTGAGAAAATGCACAAGTTACAACACTAATTTATCAATACATGTAAATTGTGATTATACTAATGACTTATATCATATCGTCCAATAAAAATTCCAATTCTTTGCTATTCCAACAAAATTCTTACATGGACCATCAGATGTTAAATACTCTACTTCTGGCGCACAGCATCCATGTTCTATTATAATTCAGTGGGGTGTCCTCCCAATTCTTAGTTAATTTTCTTGCAATGGTCAAGATTTTGATCTTTAGCCCATGCCAGCTTGCTAAGCTGGTGAAGTCAGTGTCTCATAAGCTACATTTGGCATTCCTTATTTTAAGGACTTATCTCCTTTTTACAGTTAAAATGTCCCTATCAACACTGAGTTTTTAATTGTAAAAAGGAGATAAGTCCTTAAAATAAGGAATGCCAAATGCAGCCTTAATACCGTATACTATATACCCTGTTTCCAACGTAGTTTGTACCATGTCTTAGTGCCCGCTAAGGATGTCGCATAGGAAAATGGAGTAATTATATTTCTATAGTCACATATCTTCTTTTTTTTGCATGTTGTTTTGGCTTGGGCATACAAGTCCCATGCCAACATGGACTCTTTAACTCCGCATCCACATCTGGATAAACCGCTATAGCAGATAAAAGTATGACGTAATGACAAACACGTATTTCAAACTAGAAATCTAACGGACATGCAATAGCATCTTTACAGCGTGAGGGATTAAGTTCAAAAACTCCGAACAGCTGAAATAGTAAAGTATCTTTACTATTATAGCCATATATATTTCTGTCTCAAACAATTATACTTAGCCTACAAATAACTCAAACTCAAACACAACAAAAGGAAAAGGGAGGACGTCCCATCTGAATTCTGGTTCCTTTTGATATAATGGTAACTGATGAGGACGGATTTGGCCCTCCAATGACATTATGACACCTGGCACCTCATGCCAACTAAGTGCAGTCTCTTGACAACTAGACAGCTCGAGCTCGCCACCAGGCAGCTCGCCTCAGGCAAAATCACCTCGGCATGCCACCAGTAGCTCATCACAGGGTAGCTCGCTACGGGACGGCTCGGCGTTCTACGGGAAGTTTCTCATCTGACAAAGCCATACCTGCCAGACTGCTCCCGCGTCCCTCGTCTGATGGCGCAGCGCCTACCAATTCAGAAGGTTGCGCCCCTGTCTCCCACCTAGCGACGTCGTGCCTACAGGTTGTCTCCCGGCTGGCAGGATCGTACCATGCAACGGTCGCTGTAGCCCGCCTGCTCTCGGCCCTGATAGCGGATCGTACCATGCAACGGTCGCTGTACCCCTCAACACCTTCGGAGTTCCCATGCTGGACCTACCCCAGGTCGCCGAAGCTGTGAACTCCCCACTCCCTTCTGCGGTGAACACCACCTTTGCTGAACCCGCCGTGGTCTCCCCCGCAGTGGGGCAGAACCAGCTTGGTGACTTAGTGCAGTGTGTACGAGTCATGCAAGCCCAAATGCAGCAAGTCCAGCAACTTCAGCATTACCAACAACAAGTCTTGTGTCACTTCTACCAGCAGCAGTTCCCAGCGCTGCAACAGAGCCAGCAGCCAGCCCAACCGCGGTGCCCCATAACACCGCTGAACCAGCAGCCGTTCGATCGCCACCGAAGTAGCCGACCTCCCCGCGGGGGGGAGACCTCCCAGGCCTCGTCCCACAGCAGGAGAGGACCAACAGCCCCCGCCGCCTCGCGGCAACAAGGCAGGTCGGGGAGCGCCCGCCCCACCAAGGTCGGTTCGTCCCAGCACATGCAACCGGAAGCCTCGTTGACGGGCAATCGGTTCAAAGTCCTGGCGACAAACTCTGGGCAAAGTCCTTCAGCTCGCGAAAGCCAGTTTCAGTCAGACTCTCACCAGGCCAAGGCCCGACCCGGCAGCACCGAAACAACCAGCACTAGCGTGGACTCAGCCAAAAGGCAGTAGAGGCGGCGTCCCAAAGCCCGTCGTGCACTAATCCCTAAGCAGCTCGCGAAGCCCAGCCGACCCGAACAACCCGAAGGTAAGACGGGGGCAAGCTCGGGAGTCGCGAAGACCGCCCCTCTCCTCTCGGTGCCATCTCCCCTCTCCCCCGATCTCCTAGCAGCTCCCATGCCAAAGGACTTCAAGGTACCCCCTCTAGACAAGTACGGCGGGTCGTTTGACCCAAATGACCATGTGGACTGCTTCCAGTCCCAGATGCACCTCGCCGGGGCCAGTGAAGCCTACATGTGCGTTGCCTTCTCCACGACCTTCAGAGGAGTAGCGCGCACGTGGTATAGGAACCTCCCATCCGGACCAATCCAAAGCTGGGCGCAGTTCGTACAAGCATTCACCTCGCACTTCGTTACTAGCAAGAAGTGTCTGAGGTCGCAGGAAAGCCTTCTTAGCATAGTCCAAAAAGAGGGAGAGTCCATCCGGAGCTACATCAAGCGTTTCAACAACAGCTGCCTCCTGATCCCGGACCTAGACCCCGCTGTGAGACTCGCCGCAGCAAAGAGGGGAGTCACTCACCGGGAGTTCAAGTGGCACATAATGGTGAACAAGCCCAAGGACATCACCGCATTCCTCAAGCTCGCTGACCAATTCATCGAGACTGAAGAGGAAATGAATCAAAAAGCCGGAGCTCCAGCAGAGAAGAGGAGGAGAGACGACGACAAAGACCTCGGCACCGCATAAATCCCAGTCGCCTCCTTGGCATGGGCACTTAAGACCCAGTCACCTCTTCGGCATGGGTGAGCTAGTCCCAGTCGCCTCCTTGGCATGGGCACTTAAGACCCAGTCACCTCTTCGGCATGGGCACTTAAGACCCAGTCACCTCTTCGGCATGGGCGAGCTAGTCCCAGTCGCCTCCTTGGCATGGGCACTTAAGACCCAATCGCCTCTTTGGCATGGGTGAGCTATTCCCAGTTGCCTCCTTGGCATGGGCACTTAAGACCCAGTCGCCTCTTCGGCATGGGCGAGCTAGTCCCAGTCGCCTCCTTGGCATGAGCACTTAAGACCCAGTCGCCTCTTCGGCATGGGCAAGCAAGTCCCAGTCGCCTCCTTGGCATGGGCACTTAAAACCCAGTCGCCTCCTTGGCATGGGCACTTAAGCCCCAGTCGCCTCTTCGGCATGGGCAAAGTCCAGGAGTGGACTACGAGTCGCTCCCAAAGCCTAAGGGCCACATTACTGCTTAAGACCCAGCCGCCTCTACGGCATAGGCAACAATACTACTTAAGACCCAGTCGCCTCTACGGCATGGGCACCACTGGTGCACAAGACCCAGCCGCCTCGTCGGCATGGGCAAAGTCAAGGAGAGCGGACTACAAGTCGCTCCCAGAATCTAAGGGCTAAAGTACCGAACTGGCAGAGATCTCGGCGCCTCACAGGCAACTCGCTTCCAAGCATCTCCCAGAGCCTAAGAAACTGAATCAGCGCTTACGAGCTCGTCGAATTACGGGTCAAAAAGAAAAATCTACTTCCTTCGCCGAGTTACTTTCAGCTCGAGAGTGGGGGGCAAATGATGAGGGCGGATTTGGCCCTCCAATGACATTATGACACCTGACACCTGACATTACTTTCAGCTCGAGCTCGCCACCTTGTAGCACTTACAAGCAGCTCGCCTCAAGCAGAATCACCTTGGCATGCCACCGGTAGCTCGTCACAGGGTAGCTCGTCACAGGGTAGCTCGCTACGGGACTCGACGTTCTACAGGAAGTTTCTCATCTGACAAAGTCGTACCTGCCACACTGCTCCCGCGTCCCTTGTATGACGGCACAGCGCCTGCCAATTCCGAAGGCTGCGCCCCTGTCTCCCACCTGGCGGCTTCGTGCCAGCGGGACTTACCATGCAACGGTCGCTGTAGTCCGCTGCTCTCGGCCCTGACAGTAACGGCCCACTCCGAGGTACACATGATAGCGGATTGCCACTGCAGGGATTGGGATCAACCCCACCGAACTGTCAGACGCCAGCACTCCGACCCCTCAGAGGCAAAAGGTATCCCATATTCACCACTCACTCTCTAGCTCTCATCTTGCGTACTCATTCTCTTTGTCAGTTCGTTACCGAGTTCTAACTTAAGCATTAACTTAAGCATCGGAGAGTCACCGTCGGGTGTTCAACCCCGGGTCCCTTCGTCCTTCTCGCAGATATCTCTTGCCCGTCGCCAGCTAGAAGACTCGCTTGGAGTGGCCGGATTTCGCATCATCACTAACGAAGCTAATAACTAAACGAGAGCACTTACTTTCTTCGAATTAAACATCAAAAGGAAAAGGGAGCAGAAGTATACATATTCCTCAATTCTTTAAAGAAAACCTACCTTCAAAACAAATTCCATGGCTTCTGAGATGAACCCGAACCACCCGCCACTCTTCTGAACCGCGGCATCAGTCGTACCGGCTGCTGCGCCATCAGAACCAGAATTCACAGCAACAGCGGCGTCAGCGAGCGTGTACAACAGACCTTCAGCTCGGCTAACGATTCCATGAAAATCGATGGAAGAATCGAAGGAGTGAAGGGGAGGGACTTCATGTAAGCTGAATTTCACACTGGTATATCCGAATCTCCGTCGAGGAAACCTGTGGATGCCATGGCGAGATAGGGAGGGAAGGGAAGTGGTGAGAATGGGAGACGAGATTAGGGTTTTCGCCATGGTCTTAATATTTTCGAGGCCTCTGCAGCTGAATTCAGATTATCATGAGGAAGATGGAGGGAGAGTGGAGACGGAAGACGCGGGCCGTCTACCTAGCAGACCAGCACTAGCAGCCTAGCAGGAGAGAGGGAGATGAGGGGCAAGAAATTTTTCACGTATTATCCGTATTTTTTGGGACAACCACAATCTATGAGTCAATTTCTTCGGGGATTTCTGGGAATAAAAATAAAACCTTCCATCCATCACTTTGGGCGGTGGATGACAATGCTACGTCGCCGTGTAAGAGAGAATCTTAAAATGGGCGTGATAATATAGGTTACGTGGCCATGTCTTTCACCGGCCGATGGTCCTACGCTACTTCAAGTAACGACCGAAATCAAATTAAAAAGAAAAAAAAAATCACCAATTTATTCTTGAAAAAAAAAAAAAAAAACACTCATCATATATTGGCCGCTTGGGTAAATTGATTTGCAAGCGGTTCACGTTCGAATTTATCCGTTAAGAGTGATCCGTTTTCGATCCGTTTACTATTATTTGATGAAATATGGATCCATCCCTATCCAATTCCATATTAAGGATGATCTGATTCCACAACTAATTTTCGGTTCTGATTGGAAATTTGGTAATGAAATAATATTAATTCATTTCGCTAATAATATAATACTAGCGGAGTTATCCGTGCTGAGCACGGGCTTTTATATATTATGATGGTCTGATAAATGATTCGGATCTAAATCTGACAAAACTGGTTGAGGATGATAAACATTGATTTCTTTGTCACCAATCGAATTCAACTTCTGTAGTGCAACACCGTTCGAGCAGCCCCTTCTAACCTTGCATTATGCTGTATTTGGATGCGATATAAATAAAAAATCGATGTAAAATTTACGATTCGTTTTTGTACGCATTTGGTAAAAAGTGTAATTATTATTGATGTAAAACTATACTTTGGTTCAGTTTTTGAGCGTTTGGGTGGAGTGTAGTTTTACATCGATGATAGATGTAAAACCTCATCACATTTAAAGTTTTATATCGATTATATCAATATAAAACTTAAACAACTTTTGACATCGATTTCAAAATATAACGGTCATATATATTTAAGGTTCAGTGTAAAACATCATCAGTGTATTTTTACACTGATTACATTTTACACATCTTCCAAACACAGCCTTAGTAATATCTCTCAATTTCTCATGAAATAAATAATTTAAGTACGGAGATATTCCCAAGGTAAGGCTATAAAGTCTGTTAGAACAGGCTTTGCCCTAGTTGAAGCCGGACTCTTCCCAAAATATTTCAGAATGAAAAATTTTTATTCATTTTATATATTTACATATTATATTTTATATTTTATATTTTTATTTTTTGTGTTTTTATTTTTTTAAATTTATTTAAACAATTATTTGTGCTATTTTCTTATGGAACCCCATTTCATTTCATCTTTAATTTTTACATATTATTATTATTATTATTTTGTTTTTTTACTTTCTATTTTTTTTATTTTTACATTTTTTACTTATTGTTTTTCTCTCCTTTTTTATTTGTATGTTTTTTTTATTACTTTTCTCTTTCCGCCATTTATCTCCCCTAAGTCTCCCATGACATGTCCGAGTCTATTAAATCAGTCTATCGATTCCACATTCCCAATTTTTTATTATATTACTTATTCCTTGTCCTTTTTTTTATTCTTTAGATTGAGTTAATCACATCCTCTCGGCCAATCACTCTTCCCTCTCATAATCTACAAACAGAGTTTGTTCTGGTATCATATGCTCATCACCATTCTTCATTCTCTCATTCTCTTTTTCTTTTCATTATTATTTTTCTCTTTTTTTTTGTTATTATTATCCATTACGGTTCTGGGAGACTCAGCCGAAATAATCTTTGAATCGACAAACCCAGTTAATTTGAAGTATTAAAGGTATTGTATTCGAATCAAACAGTTGATAAGGCAAACACAATAGGAAAATGCAATGTTTAATCACACCATTCCCTAATGAAAATACTGCAAGACTTCGATTGACCCAAAACAAGGAGTAAATAATTAACGGCGAATAATAGGAACCTGAAGAATTTGAAGCATGAAGGGATATCTAAATAAAGAAAAAAAAAAGAACGATAATAACATATAAACAAGGGCGTATTTCAATCCTTCTCCCTTTTACATTCGTTATTGGCCAGGGAATTTACAGAGAACAGCTCTTCAGAGTTTCATCACCGTCTCTGGTAACTTCTACAGATCCTCGTCATCCCATAGCAAAACACAAAGAAAGAAAGAAAAAAGGATTAAAAAAAAAAAGAGAAAACATAGCGAGAAATAAGGCTTACCTGGGCTGAATGTTGGCCTGAACACAATTACTGGAGCAGAGGAGCTTCAGTCTGCTATAGTCGGATACTGCTAGCTGGAACAGAAATGATCTCCACGAATTGTAACCGGGAGCATGGTGAGAAGAAACGATTCCTTGGATGCAAGTTTTTCCCAAGCTGAGAAGAGGGACAGCTGGGATGATGGATATTATTTTGTGACTTTGCTCAGCCGGTGAAGAATATGGAGAACGTAGAATCGATGAGCAGTCGGGGAAATCCAAAAATGTGAAACACACCAGTACGAATGATGCAGAATGATGAGGAAATCCAAAAATGGTGAGAAATCACCAAAAGCAGGAAGGAAAAACAGGTCGGCGTTGCTGCTAGATCCTCTGTTCTTGTTGGGGAAATCAATTAACAATATACAGAAGGGATGGGTCATTTTATTCATTGCTGTTTCCGTCACTATGTCGAGTGTCAGATGTTAGGAACGATGAACGGTGTTCGGTCGACTCTTCAGTTCGTTGGAAGAGATGGGGAAATCAGTCCAGTCGACCACTGGCGGCGATGACAGGGAGGGGACGCGAGAAGACGAAGGAGTAGAGAACGAAAAAGGGGAAGGAACAAAAGAGAGGGAGAGCGCGGGCGGACGGAGAAACCGCCGCTGCCCAGAGTTGCAACGGCGGTGACTGATAAAACAGAGGGAGGAGGACGAGAGAGAATAAGAGAAATAATTCATTCTAGAAGATCGCTGAGGAAGTAGCAATGGATGAGAGCTGGAGAAGAGATTTCACGTGACGAAAAACTTCACGTGTGGATTTTTCGCACGCGAAAAAAAATCACGTGTGGATACCCAATCCTGCGTGAAGGAAAGGCCACATCGCCCAGGCCCTTCCCAGCTTAGTATATAATAGATTTAATCATTTTTAATTGAACTTATCCATATTACTTGATATGTGATTGTTTCCAATCTAAGCTTGATTTTGAATATAATTCAAAAACGATGGATGAGACCCATTTCAATCTCGATTAAGCAAAGTAAATTTAAATTTGGACTTATTTCATCCGTCGGGATAGCTAGAGAGATGTAAAACGGGCGGTGTCGGGTGTGACTGGCCTGTGCAAATTGCCTGTTCAACCCGATATGGTCTACGACCTAAGCCCGTGCGGGCCTATGCCATGCCACGGGTTGGGTTGTGGATCGGATCAAAGCTATTTATTTAAAAATAAATAAATTTTTAATTTTATATGAATTTTGATATATACAATAATTAAATAATTAGTATAATAAAATTTTATATACTATATATTATTATATAATTATAATTTATATAATAAAAATATATATAGACCATGCCTGGCTGGGCCACGGCCCGCTCGGTCATGCCATGTTAGCCCAGCCTACGGACCTAAAACCCCAAGCCCAACACGGCCTACATGATCGTGTCATGCTTGGCATGACCCACAGACTATCATGTCAGACCGTGCAAAACTGGTCCAAATTAGTGTCAGGTTGCGGGCGGCACGAGCCGATTTACACCTCTAGGGATAGCAGTGGATGAGTCCATGCGAGTTTTGTAAATTTTAAACTCTAGGCAGCTTCTCAAACCTCTCAACATGTACCCTCCTTAAAATTGCAGATTGGATTTTTAGAATACAAACCCTCTCATACATGACCATCAATTATAAGGGTGCAAGTTAGGCGGGTTGAATTGTATTTATGGTCAACCTAGGCCCAATTCTAAGATTTGGGCCTAAGGTTCAAGCTCGAACCAACCACAAGGTCCAAGTCTATATATAAGCATAAATTCTTGAGCCCAAACCCAACCCAGGAACCAAAAATCTAAGCCTAGCCCATATAAAATTCCAACCTTAGTTAATTCAAGCTGGGCTTCGGCTTGCCTAATTTGCACCTCTAATCAATTTTTGTCTTCCTTCAAACATATCATTAATTTGGACCCAAGCCTCCAACCATCGCAAAGGTCTCCTCCCCGTTGGCACAAAATGCGCAAATGTTGTCTTTATTCCTTTGATTTCTTTACTAGTGAATGATCCCGTAGGGGAATAAGTAATGTTAAATTTACATTATGGAATTAATAATGTTAAGTTTATATTTATTAATCATTTCAATAATTATTAAAATTTCAATAAATATTTATTTCAAAATAGTTTTTCAATAATTATTAGAATATGGACAGTTTTATTTTATTATGGTACGTAGAAGGTTGTGGATAACCACTTTTGCATTTTCTACATTTTTCTAGGAATGGGTTGAAAATGGTGGTAGTGGGTTGTGGGCTTTAGTAGAAATTTCTCAGAAATTGCCACGTGTCAAATTTTCTAGAAAATGAAAAGTCCACTTGTTCGAACGGTGTTAGTGGGTTGTGGGCTTTAATAACAATTTCTCAGAAAATAACATGTAAGCCACGTGTTTGAATGGTGGGGTTTGTGCCTTCCTTTAATATATATACTAGCGGAGGGGGCCCTGCGTTGTAGGGGCTCGCTCATAAATTATTAAGCTCGAGCTCTATTTGAATTAGAGGCATGAGCTCGAGCTCAAGTTATGCTCGAGTCAAAAGCTCGGAAGTTCGAGCTTGGCTACCTTTGATTGCAGGTTTCTCAAGTAGCTTAGGTGCTGAGTTGAGGTCTCCCTCGATTACCGAGGTGCCAAATCAATGTCTCCCTCAGTTGTTGAAGTGTCGATATGAGGTTTCTCTAGTAGGCAAGGCATCGAGCTAAGGTCTCCCTTAGTTGACAAGGTGCTGAGTTGAGGTCTCCCTCAGTTGTCGATGTGCTGAGCCGAGATCTCTCTTAGTGACCGAGGTGTCAAGCCAAGGTCTCCCTCAGTGGTCGAGGTGTCGTCTAGCTTGAGCTCGATGTGAGTTAAA